GTCACCAAAGTATATATATACGTATATATATTACAAGTTGTCGTTCTAAGTGGTTTTTACCAATAATTATTCTATGAATACGTCACGAATTCATTTCATGAACGATCTAAATTTTTTGGCTCGCAAAGGAATTTACCAATATTGGATTGCCTCGACTGCACTTTTTGTTGGTCAAACTTGATTTCGCAAAATTTATTTATTTCAGTTAGCTACGAAATGTGATGTTAGGGTCTAGTATGGGGTGGGGTGGTAGCAATTGCCCCGTCATTTTCAACGGGCTATACGCTAGTAGCAAATAAACGCGAATGACTGGGGAATAATGCATAAGGTCTACAGCGTATAACGTTTTAGGTTATTGGCGGATAGCAAAAACGGTTTTTCTTTGAAAAACTAACCCAAATTTTGAATATATAGAATGTATAATAAGGATAATATATAATTGTATCAGATTAACCTCTTTCATGAATATTACATTGGTAAATGGAATGTATTTCCTCACATTGAGTGAAAAAGTCCATATCACGAGTAGACGAGAAGTAAAAGCTTAAATTTATTAACTTAAGTACGAGATTCAACCTACCTTCAAACCAATTGTATAAACATTTATGACTATCGGAGAAACACGCTACACAAGTCCAAACTGTTTTACATACACAAACACATATTGTTTACATAGCTTACGTGGACTTTTACAACAGGTCTTCTGCGCAATGACTATACATACATCACATCCTTCGTTATGTGAAAAAAATATATATATCAAAGGTCAACATAAAAACGATGATACTGTATAGGCGTAAAACACCCACACTGAATACTGTTTGTCAGATGATGATGGCATCGTTGTGCCTTACTTTCTCGTATTAATCAAATCATAAAAGAAAATCAAGAATTTTTAAACAACGCTAAAATATTATATATGGTTCACACAGACTAATTAAAAAAAAAACAGTTCCAGAACAAACCGTCACTTTCAAAGATCCAATTTACTGATTGTAAAAGAACGTGAACTTCAGAGTTACATAACTAACGTTGTCTTTCTTTTTTTCAATGCAAAAGCAGTTGTCTAAACGTTTTATCAAAGCAATAAAATCCGAGCTATTGTAAAAACAACCAAATAAAAAAAACCTATGAAACAAGCCGTTAAAAGAAATTCTAAATGACCGCGCATTACTGAACAAAGTTTTAACGAATTCTTCATCATTTTTCCTTCCAATTCCAACTTAAGAACAAGTAATAAAGCCTCGAGTCTTTCTCCCAAATACTGCCCTTTAGCCGGAGTTAAAAACTCCTGCAGCTTCTAATCAAAACCAAATAATATTTTTTAACATATTATTTCAACTAGCAACAGGACAATAAGTTAATGGCTTAAACACTGAAAGCTGGCAAAATATTGGAAAACCAACAGGCCTAAAAATTCTACATTTCTTAATTTACGTAATGATGACTGGATTATAGTACACACTATCACAAATAAATAAAATGTCCAAGAACTCCAGTTGTTTTATTTGCTCAACGTTCCGGCTTTATCCCTTCATCAATAACACTTTAGTGAGTTTAGTCAATAATATATTCAAACTCTCTTTACTCTTTTTAATCTTAGAATTCTCATGACCACTGGTTGTATAGTTATTTTTACAAGTTTAGGACGGTTATAAAAAAATAAGTTAAATACCTAGTTAGATAATAAAGCACTTCATTTTTCAAAATATTCCATGAAATGAAATAAAACTTAACATTTCATTCAATTCTTGAAGAACAAATTTCATAATGATTGTTACAAACAAAAGAAATATTCTCTCCATACCTTTAAATAACATTCATAGAAAAGATAAGTCAAAAATTTGCTTTTACAAGAAACCCATCCCTAATTTGCATAAAATAATGTAAAAAAAAACAAATATTAATAATAATAGACATTTTTAGATACTGGAAAATGTCATTACTTACAAAACACCAATTGTTTGTTCCTATGTTTTGTTATTAAATTCCTTAAAGGAATATTCAAACCTTGAGATGGTGCTTTCTCTAAGCCACAAGAAGATACTAAACACATCCCACTAGTTCATATCATCCTTTTTAACTATTATACTAATCAAATTGCACCATCACTTGCCAAGTATTTCTTTGTTACCATTAAAACAAAAACAAACAATTGGCTAAGGGATTATCCTTCATTGTAAACCTATATATTATCACAGGTAAGTTGATGATACAGTTCTGAATATGTAAGTCAACAGCTTATTAGTGGACATGACAGTAAAAATTTTGATGTAGAATATTAAAAAAAAGAGCATCTGTTTTCCTTCTTGGATGCATTAATAATTAAAGCATAATACATTTACTGGTTTACATTCCAAGTTGGTAATTTTATCCCATACGTTTTTATGAAAAATTTGGGTAAGATTTTGTTTCACATGGTTATAAAATCACCAGCACATAAATATTTACATTAAAGAACTTGAAAATACCAAGAATTTTTTTAAAGAAAAATGACTTTCCTAAAATATCATGAACAAGATCCTACATATTTTTTTTATTTAGGATAAATCAATCGATCTAAAGCGTTAAATTATAATGTTCCAAACAAATAGTATCAATGATATTGTCATGTATCAGCAAACATGCATTGTTGGTGAAAATTTACCTACATAAACTTTACCATGGAATTTATCCACCAACAGACTTTGGAGCTATTTTTAGCCACAGCATAGTAGCCCATAAAATGGCTCCTAGTTTTTCAAGTGCAAACTTTTAGCTCAAAGCTCCATCATCTCTTGACCAATTTGAGATCTAATTACAGTTTTGGACTCCGGAGGTCAAACCCTTTTGATTGATATATTTGACCACACCCAAGGTCTCATAGATTAATTTACAATAATCTTTCCTAAAATAATTTCAAGTGCTGCTACTGAGGATTCCCTCTTGTTAAACCTGAAATATTGTTTACAAATTTAAATATCCTAGATACAATTGTAGATATGCTGGATCTACCACCAGATGACTTAAAACACACGAGCAAATATGCATATCCACTGACACAAAACAAACCTAACATAAGAGATCATGTTTGAGCAGCATTTAAAATTCTTTCAGAGACTAACAATCAAAAGACTGAGACCAGAACTTAGTGAAACTACTCTGCAATCAATCTTTTAGTTAAATTATAGTTGATGGTTGTCTGATTGCATGTTGTTATAAGTTACATGTTTTATGGAAGTAACACATTATGCAGATTAGTGGAGAGTTTGATAATACCAAACAGATTAACCTAGTCTCAGACTTGATGTTTCATGCATGTATTGAACCAAAACTCAAGCTAACTCTAACATTAGATCTATAATTAATCAAGTAGTAGTTCTATATTTGCAATGACAATTAAACTCATATAACTTTAATTGGAAGCCCTAACATGGCCTGGTGGTTAGAGGGAAAGAAATCCACCACCAAACATGCTTGCTGTTTCACCTGTAAAGATGCTATAACGTGATGGTCAATACCTTTATTCATTAGTAAAGAGTAACTCAACCGAGTTTGTGATTTGCTATATTGACTAGCTTCATTTCCTCTAGTCTATCACTTCAAAATTAAGTCATGATGTTAAGAAAACATATAGGTTCAAAAATAAATTAAAGACAAAAATATAAAATACTATAACCTAAGACAAGTACAAATAAAAATAATGACCTTTCTGTATCTAGACACTGATCCTAACAATCATTCTGTCAATCACACTCCTCATGCCCTTTTTCTCAAATGCTTAGAGATAAAATGTTTACAGTTAGAAAAAGGCACAAGATATTTAAAATCATAGCTATAATAGTAATTAAAGGAAAAAAATGTTATCTAACCTATCATTACCACCTGTTCTAAACATTTGTGTGTGTATGTGTACGCATACACCTTTTTATTATGTGCGGTCACTATTCATTGCATTTTAGTTTCCCACAAATGAAATAAAGTACATGCAAATTTCATACTCTTTACATTTTAAGTACATGACTGTTTTCATAACTCTGAAAATGTGCTTTATCTAATTATGTTTAAATTCACCTTGAATAGTGATTTCATGCCCATGTGCAGTATGTTAGTTTAGAGAATGTTTTCGCTTTGTTTTTCATTTTACAATGCAATCCAGCTACAAAAAGTAGTTTGACACACAGAAGTTACACAAAATATCGCTTGAAATAAAATATAACTTATACATTGGTTTTATTACTTTTTCAATTCATTAGATTATATAGATCTGTAGATAAAAATGGGTTGTATTGTTTTGTTAGTTGTATTTGCTTATACAAGAAAGTTTAATTCAACCACACACACTGTGTTCTAACTTTCCCAAGTCTAAACAGTATAATTTTTCTCTCTGACAAATAAACAACACATTATCAATATCTACACATGAAATAGTAGTCAGAAGTTTGTTTTTTGTAACATCCAGGTTTCCTCTGGTAAAATCACAAAATAATAATCATTCATATTATAAAATATATATTGTCACTGAAATAACTTGGTTAAGTAATTTCCATACTATGCTCCATCAGTTGTATTACTTTTGGAATAGAAGTGTATGCGTTTCCTTTACCTTTGATAATATCTTGATACATATAATTACACAACAAGACCAAAAATAATAAACACAACAAACGCATTCCAAGAAGACACATGCTTTGCATTTATTTAAAGTTAAAGGGAAAAATTCATTTTATACAGCAACTTTAAGATTATGAACTGACAAAAGTTAAAGGGCAAAAGAATGTTTTTCTTCTCATTTTGTATCATCCAAAAATCTACAATTACACAAAATTGGTTCTTGTAAGTGCTTCTTTTTATTGAGGAAAAGCCCCTTATGCATATCAAAATACCCATGGATATTTCTTGTCCACTTATTACCACTGTAAGCTTGTCATGTTCATTGGATATCATTGTATATTATGCAGTTTGTGCTAATAATTTAAGAATTGGATGAAGAAAAATTCTTTAACCACAAGTTGGAAAGATTAGATTTATTCAAGTTTCATAAACTACACATAACTACAGGAATAAAAGAACTGATAATAAGACAAACAGTAATTATGCTTTTAATTCTCTAACTTGGAATAAACTGTTTCAGAACATATTAACACATCCAGATTATAACTACTTCATCAACACAACTGTTAATAATATTAACTAGGAGAAGTATACCCACCAAAACTGCCATAACTAACTTTTTATTTATTTTAATTAAACAATGAAGTAAAAGAATTTGGGTGCATAAACTAACTGAAAAACTAAAGAATAAAATATCACAGAAAAATCCTTGAAAACAAAAAAAGACTCTCAGCTGGATAGATAAAATCATCATTATCTATATAAAAACTTCTTAAGTAGTATAACACTTACAATACTTGAAAACACAATATCCATAAAAAAATGCAAGAATTTGTTCTTAATCCTTAGAATAAAAAATTGGACAGCCTTTCTATTGCAACCAAGCAAGTTGGCAGTTTGAATAGTGTGCCTACCCAGAGTAAAATATATTGAGAAATGGAGTTAAGATATTGTGCAAAGAAAAGACAAAGGTCCTGACAATGCAAGATTAAGTCATCAGACCCTTAAACCTGTTCATACTCCTTTTTAATGGCACGGGCAAGACAGCATGAAAAGATGATTCCAATGACCTAAAATAAAATACATTTATTGAAATCTTTTCTTTTTTTAATAACTATTATTAGTAGTTACAAACTGTATGAAACAGGTAACAACAATAACTTAAGAATAAGAAACCTTCTTTAAATATTTCCTTTGTAAGTATTAAAATAAAACATGTTCTAAACATTTGTTTCATTATTTTATATTATTTTACAGATACTTAGAGTATTTATTAAGTCTTAATTTTTTTTTAAAAGATTTCTAGTAACATTGGTATTCTCTCTCCTGAAGCAAGAAATTACCTAGCAAATTGTAACATTTGCCGATTTGTTTTAATTTTGGTAGCATTAGCTGATGCAAGCCTATGGCACATAGTTTTAAATAAAATCTATGAAGATGTATTTTCAGTAATAGTAATAATTTACCAGAATAGTTGATTATACACAAGTCTAACAGAAAAACAGCATACTTTTTATTATTAAGCCTTACAACATGATATAAGTATGAAAACGGTTAGACTAGCACATGATGAATAATTTCTGGAGATTGTCAAGAAAGGTTGTGTGGCTAAATATTTGTTTTTGTGTTTTTATGCTACTTGTTTTTAGCAGTATTTTGTTGTTCTTATTAAAACCAAGAAATGTGATGTAAACCTTGAAAAAGTTACATCCACCATGGGGAATCAAACCTTGGATTTTAATATTTAAGGTCTGTAAACTTAACACTGATCCACCAAATGGATCTTATATATGAAAACATATGAACAAACAACTGTGTACATATGTGTGTGTGTTTATATACTCATTACTATGAGTGTGTTCCATTTCCAAGGTAGCACAGTTAAAAACTAATACAATTACAAATGCTTTGCAAATAAGAATATTTTCTGATAGCATTAAATGATAAGTAAAAATTCTTTATTCTGTAGAATAAAAATTTACTGTTGTAGATGGGTCTTTTTTTGTCTCTATCAAAAATAAAAAAATACTAAACACACAGTGGTCTTACCTGCACAAAAGCAATACCAATGCCAACACCTCCAACAATTACAATCTTTGCTTCCAAAAATTTGGCCAATGCATCAATACATCCCTATAAAATTTGGATAAGAAAACAAATATAAAAAATCATTAAAAAACCAGTATAAAGTTATCTTCAATTCTTTTATCATTACCAAGACAATAATAAAACTTTCAAAACTATTACAAGGCAGCTTGCATGAAAAGTTTATAATTTTTAAAGTTGATTAAATAAAGTACCACAGAAATAACAGAAGAACTAACAATTTAATGTCAATATAGTTTTTTTAAACAAATGTAAAACATTTTACTAAAAAAGGCTTATAATAATAATATATATATATATATATATATTGGTGTACTTTGGTGACAGATTTTCTTGTAGACAGTATTTTTGTTAAACAAGACCGATGTCTGTAGGTTTACTTTCTTCTTAGAATTACTTC